CGCGCTCGGACCTGGCCGACTGCTCTTCCCAGCAGATGTCTGGGAAATTCAGCTCCCCCATGACTACCACATCCCTAGCTTTTACTACCTCAGTGAGCTGACCCAAGAATTCCTGGTCAAGCTCCTCTGCTTGGGTAGGGAGTCTATAGTAGACTCCCACCAATAGGTCCCTTTCCCCTCTTCTGCCTTGAACCCTAACCCAAAGCACCTCAGAGTATTTTCCTCCTCGGGTCTTATGCATGGTCTAAGCAATGCCTTGCTCGGTGCTCCAAGAACCTGGCCCCTTGCACGAGGACAGTCCCTTCCCAAAGTATATGCTGCCTGACCCCAAAAGCCCGTGATACACAGGAATGCCCCTGCCATGTACACAGAGTGCCGGGTTCAGAGGTAGAACTAACACCCGAGTACCAGAACAGCCCGGATATGCATGCTAGCTTCAACCAGTGCAGCAGGACGAGGCGTCTGTGTTTAGCAACTCAGACCAAGTGCCAGAGGCAGAAGGGCAGACTTCTAGGCATTTCAAGTTGCTACAGAGACCACTGCAGGTATAAGCAGTGCCTGGCCTGGGCTTTGTCAGCACCGTGCACTGGCTAGAACACACGTATTTCCCTATTCCTAATTCCCAGCAAAACGTTTACATGTGGACCTGCCCACAGAAACATCGCGTTGCATGATGAGATACGGCACCTTCCATGGTACATGTTACCCTCAAGAGAGGCCCCAAGTTGCTGGATGTATGGGTGAGGGTCCGTTGCAATTTGGAAAGGACAAGATATGATGAGTGTGCAAGAGCACCTGCCAAGAGGCGCCGAATCCATTCGGTGGAGACAATTAATCCCCTCTTCAAGGAAGGTCCCTGGGCCAAAACGCCAGTCCCTGGATACTCTGGAATGACATTCCCAACTGTGCCATCATGGGAAAACCTGGCCTCTTTGTAGGGATGACCTCCAGCTGCTGCTGATCCTTCTTTTGTTTAGGACCCAACTGTTGTATTCAGCAACCCCTGTATTTTGTATTTGGCACCACTGGACCACGGCTGTTCCTTGACTTTGCTCCCCTTCCTTCTCTGCTCCTTGCTCTCAATGGCCTGCTGCTCCATGGCCATCCTTGAGTTCACGTGGCCAGTCCCACCAGAGGACAGCTCTGGGATAATTAAACGGTCTTTGCTTACCCCTTGGATTCTCTCCTTCACCCCAGCCATGTGGTTATGAAAAGGAACAGAGGAAGAGAGGGAAGGGGGCTCTGGGAAACTCACTAGTGGCTCACAATGTTTCCCATACTCTGAAGCCACAAGGAGGAAATACCAGTCTAGCAGATAGCTGCTGCTTTCTTTTGTTCACCTCTGCTGTGATCATAGGAAAGGTGAAGAGAGCGTGGTGGAGATGAGCAACCTGCAAAGCTGGCTGAGACTTAAAAGACAGGATTGTACCAATCCAGCCTTCCACCAAATCAACGGCTGGCAGGAGGCTCGCTAGATGGGCAAGACCCCTTCCGGTCAGGGCCTGGCAATGAAGTGATAACGAGAGGGAAAGGAGGGGCACTGTACACCTGTGATGCTGCTGGCTCTAGAAGTTGACAGCACCTTGCCTTGGCTCTCACACAACCAGCCACAACCAAGCACCTGCTGGGGGAAGCTGTATGGTCTCAGTCCAGGGTTCATCCACAAGGCTTTGTCCTCTAAATCCTAAATGCCACCCTAAATCCTAAGTGCCGGGCAAAGGCTTCCAGGTCCTTATTAGATGAATGATTTCAGTTGCATACACAACTTGCTCAGCCAATAAACAGAGCCACCTTTTGAAAGCACCTGGCAGCACTGCATGAGAAGCTAGGGCTGAGATAAGAAACGGGTCACACACAATAGGACTATTGCCAGATTACAGCTTTTCTTAGGAAGCAGCAAGTGCCAGTCTTGCAGGCTCTGTGTGCACTGTCAGTAAAACATGTCTGCACAGCTTGCAGCTGGTTAGTCGGAAAGAGCTTTCCTTTTTGAAGGAGGGAAAGAAGCCTGCTTCATTCCAGCTACTCTGGGTTTCCCAGGCACTGGCAGCGGGAAGTGTTTCCTAGCGCAAGGACCTCCTGGCTTAGAAGGAATTTTGGACAAGCCTTTGCATGACCAGCAGTTCTGTCGAAGGAGTGATCTGGGCTGCTATTTGTATGGGTGCATCTCCACCGAACCCCCGAGCCAGCTGCAAGCACCAGGCCTCACCTACCAGAGGCTACGCACCACCAGCAGGAGGTACCAAACTAGCCTTGCGTGGCCCTGCTGCAGATGCAGGGACAGTGCGATCACACTAGTGCAGCATATCGCTGCACCCTGTTTACCACACAGGGCCTGCCAATGCAGCCAGACTATCACAGGGATGTGGCTAAACTGCTTCCAAGTCCCATGGCCCGTGTGGCCAGAGCAGGCTTGGTTCCCTCTGCCCTGTAGATCTACCAAGGCACGCAGCAGCCTGCACCCTACTTTGTCACTATTCTGCTGCCTGTGCTGACATAGCTCAGGGGTCTTTGGCCCCTGCGACCTGTACCCCTTGCCCTCGCTGTGATGGAGAAGCCCCATGGCATGCCACACAGCAGCCATGCTGCCCACTTGGCAGAAGGAACAGTGATTTTCATTGCAGCCAGTATCTGTGGGATCTCAACATGTGCGTTCATGGCAGGGCAGCTCTCTAGGTCAAGCTCTCAACTAGACAAGTGGAAAAGATGAAACACTGGCTCTGGGGCCATGCCATCCCCTAGGACCTGAGCAAGCAAAGCCATGTGGATTTGAACTACAGGCCGAGGGGCCTGGCACCTGCATTTCACCAGCAGCAAGTCTGCTTTCCAAGGGATTGCCCCACTGCTGCTTGCCTCTGACTTCCCCAGGAAGGACAGGAGGGCAAGAGAGCACATTAAATCCCCAGCACGTGCTGAGCAGCAGAACATCAATCCAAGTCAGCAAAGCCAACAAGCGCATGTGCAGTGGCTGATCAGCAGGCCTGTGCTTTGTGGGTTGGAATCAGAACGTGTGACAAGCCAAATGGTAAGTAACCGGCCGTGGGAGCTGCCCTCCAGTAGAGCTCGCAGGAGGGAGCTTTCCTCCTCTGTACAGAAACCCAGGCAGGACCAATGCCACCGTGTGCATTAGTCACATTGGGTGTTGCGCAGGAGCTAGGAACTGCGAGTCCCAGACTGACCTGCTTGGCCCTGGCAGGACACCATGCAGCTCCCACGGCAGACAGGAGTGCCGGGCACGGCTGCCAAAAGGAACCCAAACCCACATCAGACTACTTTTCCTGGTGTGCGAAGGAGTTTTCTGGGCCAGACTCATGACAGGAGGGCAAAGGTGTAGAGCAGTTGCACTTTCCTGGTGGATGTGGCATCAGGACCCATTCACATGCCTTGGCAGTAACAGTGATTTGACCTCCCATTGTGGCTCAGGGAGGCAGGTCTGTTGTAGGCTGGGCAAAAGCCTGGCGATAACCAGAGGAAGCTTAACTCACTGGGGCCAGGAAGGCAGAGGCAAGCTGCAAAAGCAGAGCGAGAGCTGGGGATGTTTTTGCCTTTTGGGTTACAGAACCCAAAGAACCGTGCCTGCCTAGCATCCCCAGAGACGCTCGTGGAAACCATCTACATGTGGACCGGCTGAGAAGTTGTGCAGTACCTGGGGGAACATGGCTCCCCCGATATTACACCAGGCCACGTGGCAACTCCTTGCAAAACAGCATGAGAACAAGAGTGGGGAGAGGTGCAGCAAGACAGGAGATCGCGGCTTCTCCTAAGATACAGAACAAAGACCAAGCGTTCATAACTCGCTGTCACTAGAGACCGAGGCAAGCGGCTAGCTTCCTGTGGTCAGCAGGTGACCCTCTCGGTTACTGCAGCTAGCTGTACCAGCAGAAAGAGATGACCAGGTGGAAGAGGGGAGTGACGGACAGTGCCATGCTCAACAAATTGCACCCCCAGTTTGCACAGTCTCTGCTCATCCTTCTCTCCCCACCGCAGTGGGCCACAGCCCACCACTGGCAGTGCGATAGGGTAGCTCCAGCTACTGCTCTACAGCTTTAAGTACTTGAGGGAACCACGTGCTTTTCTGGCTTTGACCCCTGCCACCTTGCTGCCGCTACATCTCTGCCAAGAGCACGTCGCAGTTTCCTCACCTTGTCACCTGAGAACGGGCAGGATTAACACCTGTCCCTGCTGCCCCATACAGGTGTTAACCAGCCATCCCCAGACGCTCCTGCTAGAGCGCACATTCACATGGGGCCTGTTCTGAGCAGCAGGAGGGAACCTGACCACTGCCTGGGGGAGAACAACCTTGCAGAACGGCTATCTGAGAACACTGTGGAGTCTGATGCTTCCCTCTGATGGCTGCCAGAAGCCAGATGAACCCAGTTACATTTGCACCAGCTGCTCTATGTGCAGGTCACGAGGAGGTCCTCCAAAGCTGCTCACTGCAAGGGCACCAGGGGCAAAAGACTGTTCCTTCTCTGGTCCCAAGTAGCCGTTCATGGTTTGCAGCCTATGCAGGCCTATGGCCATTCCCTTCTGCATTACTCCAGAAGAGAAAGGTGCACCCTTGCAGGTCACAGCAGCTTTCTCTGGGAAGGTGCTGCTGAGATACCAACTCCCATGGGTAAAGCCCAGCTATAGGAGGGGGAGACAGGCACAGAGTTGAAGGGGCTTATCCCTGGCTACAGAGTGAGAAAGGAGCACAGCTGGGGTGAGACCCCAGAAGGGCTTGGTTCTCCCACCTCCTCCCCGAACACTGGCATTGCACCACGGTAATGGAACACACGTCAGCTCAGGAGCCACTGGGATGGATGCACGCAACTGGCAGCCCCTAAGGGAATCAAGAAGACAAAACACAGGCCAGGCCCTGCACTCACCTTGGATGGCAGAGAGGTACACGAAGGCATCCTCGTGCTCCATGTTCTCCAGGAAAACCTGAAAAAACAACGTGCCCCAGTGAACTCCGCGGCACAGCCTCAGCAGAGTCCCAGTCCTGCCTGCTGGCAGCATGCCTCCCTCCCCTTCCTGAGCTGCCCCTAGCCCACCTGCCCAAGGGAAGCCCGGGAGCCCTTGTGCCCACAGTGGTCAGCAGGACTGTGCAAGCTGTGCCTCCTTCACCCTGCTTGGTCCCACTTCCTGCAGCCAACTGCAAAACCTGTGGCAGCTGCAGGTACTGGCAGCAGTGGGGCAACTTCATGGGGGAGGCAGGCAGCAGAGTTTAGACCTTCAGCACCTCGGAGGTAGCTGCAGCTTCCAGCAGAGGGGAGGCATCTTTCCCCTCTGCCATGGTGGCAGGCTGGGAGTTTACAGGACGTTGCAAGAGGGGCTCTGGCATTCTGAACCCTGTGGCCAGGCAGCTGTCCACTGCATCCCATGCCCAGCACATGCCACTGCAGCCAGCAATGATGGACAAGCACATCGGAGGAGGCTTCTGCCAGTGGACATCCTTGTAAGGAGGCTTCAGACCTCGCAGCCCACAGAGGACACTGAGCTGTCAGAGGACCAATTCTACAGCACGTCTCTCAGCATCACAGCCTGCACATGGCATAGGCTAAAGGTCTGAGGCCTCAGTCCTTGCTGCCATGCTCACAGGTAACACTGCTGCGAGGAAGGCAAGAGCAGCCCAATGCTCCAGAATGCACAAGGGACCTCAGCTGCCTGGGACAAGTCAGTGACCAGGCATGTTAGCTTTGTGCAAGGGGAGGGGGGAGGAAATCAGTGTGTCTCGTGCTCATAGACTGCAGGGGGGGTGGGGAAGGGAGTCCCCTAGTAGCTGCATGACCCCACAGGTGTTGTCATGTTATAAGTGTGAAGACAGTGTGAGACTAGGGAGAGCCAGGGCAGGACCACGTGTCTTGCACACCACCTATAAGCAAGCCCTGGAGGGAGTGCTGACTACCTGGAGGAGTTTCTCCTGTATCTTAAGGGTCTCTGGATCCCTCTGTGCTATGAGGCGGGACAGGCTCCGCAGGGCAGCTGCCCGTGCTGGGACATCAGGGTCATAGGCGGCAAAAAGGAGCTCCTGCAGCTGTTGTGGGGTCTGTCCACGGGTGCTGTGGCCTGCCCCAGGGCTCTCAGCAGGACGCTCTCCCCCCAAACTGCATTCCTTGGTCTGCTCTTTGGGACTGGGGGTAGCAGACATGCTGCTGCGTGCGTGGCTAGGATCTGGACTGCTGCATGGCTGCCCGGTGCTAGTCCCAGCTGTTTGGCCATCAGGGCTTTCTGCAAGGCCTGTGCAGGTCGCTTCTCTCATCCTGCTCAGTCCTGGCTTCTTCCCCAGGGCGCTCTGGGCAGCCGCACCGAGCGTGTGGGTGGAGAAGGCTCCGTGAGTGCAGATTGTGATGCGCAGGTCAGCAGCGAGCTCCTGGATGACCGGCTCAGGGTGGATACAGGAGACCTGCTCCAGAAGGGGCACCAGCTGCTGCAGGACAGCAAAGTCGCTCGACCTGAGCTGGAAAAGAGAAGGCAGAAGAGCACTGGCACGGCTTCAGACCCAGACATGCACGCCCTGGCTGAGAGCGCTCCCAAGAACATCCCCCTGGGCCGCGGCGCACAGAGGGAGGGAGGGAGTGCTGGGATGCGCTGTATGAGGGAGCAGGACCTCTTAGGAAACCATCGCTCTGGTAAGCATGCAGCACTGATGGCGGAGACAACAACATGCCCGGAGCTGGCAGGTGCGAGCACCGGGTGTGGTGGGACTATGGCCTTTCACAGCTCCCTAGCACCCCTGCTGGGTAACATGGCTGGAGGGGACCCAGAGCGCATCCTGCATGGGCGTTCCTCTGGTCAGGCTGTGCGAGATGGCAGCTCACATCTGCTGAAAGCTGCCATTGCCACGGTCTCGCCAGAGTCCTCTGCAACCTGCATGCCGCCAGCTCAGCCCAGCTGCCCAGCACAAGCTCTGCAAAGTACAGGGACGCCCTTCCTGGGCTCCACGTGGGCCTGGCTCTCAGTACAGCACATATGAAGAGCACACATGACCTGCACAAGCCACAGGATGGGAGATTTCATGACCAGCTAGGCAAGTCCAGCTGCACACACAGCTGTTCCCAAGTCAGGCATCTTGACACCTGCACATGCGACTGCACAGAGCATGCTGCAAGGCCCATCCGCTAACTGAGGAGCGGCATGATGAGGGCCAGGTTCCCTGAGCACAGATGGCAATGCGCAGATGGGCAGCATGCTCCCATAAGTGGGGGAGGAATGGGGATGGGACATGGGAATCTGTTGCACTTGAGGCTCGGGCTCAAGTCAATCTCTGGTTCATGTTTTTCTGGCTGCAACAGGGGAGCAGCTGCTGGTTCAACCTGCCCAATGCCTCCACACAAAAAGAGAGGGGCCAAGAGCTCCTGTGTCATCAGGCAGGAGAAAGGATGCCCTGGACTTCAGCATCCATGGGAAGCCAACCTTCCCCACAGCTGGCAGCAAGACCAATCACAAGGTCATTATCTAACACAGAGCCCAGGTCAACTTCCCCTGAAAAGATCATCTGGGGATGAACATGAGCTGGAAAATGAGGCACTTCATGCTAGGCTGTAAGTGTTATTTAACGAGTGAAAAACAGAGCAAAGCGCTGGGTTATTAGCCAACAAACATGACAATTACAGCAGATTTCTCACTTGGGGCCAATGCCTCAACAGAGCCATTGCCAGAGCCTCAGCGCCCAGGGAAGATGCTGCGTTGGGGAGGGGAAGGCAAATTGTCTAGATCAATGGTTTTCAATCTGTGGTCTGCAGACCCCTGAGGGCGCACAGACTACATCTAAGGGGTCTGGGAAAGATGACTGCAATCACTCAAAGGTATATGAACACCCATACTTACCATTCAAATGGGTCCACACCTCCATTCAACATTTTTTAGGGGTCCGCAAATTTAAAAAGTTGAAAACCACTGGTTTAGGATATCACAGAAAATGAACTGAGCAGTAGTTGTCTTGATTCAATGCAGTGCAGAGCCTGGAGGAAACCAGTAGGGAGCAGATCTAGGGCAGGGGAGTGGGGAGGGAAAAGCAGGCCAGGGCTTCTGCAAACCCCAAAGGATCACTTCTCAGCTCCCATCGGGAACACTCAGCCCAGCCCCTCCACCAGCCTGGACTCCCAGGAGACACAAGCGCCTGCATCAATGAGAGGTGGTCTGTCTGACCAGCCTAAATGTGATAACCTCCGTTCTGGTATCTCTGTAAGGGCCAAGATACCACCTGCTGCTCCTCAGGAAAGGAAGTGCGGCTGCCCAGCACCCTGCGACTCCACGCCCCAGCAGCTGACAAGCAGGTCTCCTATCCGGCATCACTGATGCAGACCGTTTTAGGCCCATCTTAATAGAGAAACACTATCCAGGACTCCGGCTTAAAAGACCGACCTACAGAGTAGCTTCAAGGCCTATCCAACACCACGGTGAGCAACAGCTAGGACCCCTGTGCTGCACACCCAGGATGCTCTCCTGCCATTGCAAGATCACAACTCCCCAGGGAGGCCAATGGGTAGCTAGGATGGGGTGAGGGGGGCAGTGCTAACAGCCGGGACTCCAACAGCTCTCTCCAGCACTGGCGAAGCAGCTCACTCTGTGGTACCACCAAGCTTTCCCATTTGATGCATGCTCATCCCAAATTTCCAGAGGGCAGGAAGGCAGGAGGGGGGCAGAGGATAAAGCGATGTTTTCAGTTTGTTCCCATACACTTTGACAGCAGCCTCGACCATGACAGCCCAGCTCCGACACAGCTCCAGCAGGCACAGCACAAAAACTGAGACCTCCCCATTGTCATGGGCACACACGGTTTTGTTGGGGCACAGTGGGAGGGGGTGTTAACTGACACATCTGAGCTACTCAAGACCGTCTCTGTAATTTATCTTCTCGGACAAAAATTCCATCAGATGCTGCAGCAACCTGTCCCAGTGTCCTGCATCTGTCAGCAGCTGAGGAGGATGAGAGCTCTTACCCCACCTCCACTTCAGAGACCCGGGAAAGCAAGGACTTGGCCCTACAGCCTGAGGCTGTTTGTGCACAATTATGCAAAACACTTAGTAATTCAAACCAAGATGGCCAGGTGTGGAGATCCATTAGAGACAACTGCCATCTGGCCCCAAAACCTCTCTCATGCAATAGACCTGGACAAGTTAAGCTGGTTCCATTAACAATTGCTAATGAGACTCAGGTCTCATTCAGGAGTGGGGCTATTAAAAAGATGCACAAGAGTGGAACAGCTTTCAAGGTCCTGGCTCAATTGCTTGGCTGGGATCTCCATGTCAGGCCCAAAGGGGGGAAAAGGCAAAGCACACTACAGCCAGGGGCAAGCCTTGCCAGGGGCAGGAGTCAGGCTGAGGAAGGGGAAGAGTCCATTCTTGCTGGGACTTTCATGGCAGGCAAGTTTTACAGCGTAGAGAACAAAAGCCAATCATGTGCGAGCCGCCCACCTTATCCTAATGGGACATTCCCAGCACTGGGTCAGAGGAAGGTGAAGCCCTGCCTGTCAGCCCTGGGCAAAATTCCTTCCCAGCCCCACATCTGGCAGTCCTTGAACCCTACATCCCAAGTGAAAACTCACCCGTCACACCCAAAGCCCCACTCACACCTACACTGATGAGGTTCTGCAGGGGGTGGAGAAGGGGCTTATCCTCCCCTTTGTGCACTGGGTCCTCAGGACAAGGTCGTTAATGAGCCCATCATAGGCTACTCCTGACCAGGGGCAGCCTCAAACAAGTTTTCTCCTGCTTTAAACACCTAAGACCCATGCAGGTTTCTTTCATTCTTTAAGACTTGCAAAACACTAGCATGTTTTGGCTGGTTTGCGAAGATAAAGGACTTTTCTCCTGCTATTCCTAGTCATTTAACCTGCAAATAGCTACAGTGAATTTCTTTCGTTCACGGGCAGCTGGATGAGTTGGGTGCAATGTAGGGAAATGAGGCAAAACTGGAAAAGGAACTGAGCTGAAAACCTGGCTGACCAACAGCACCGTGCCCCCTCAGCCTCCAACACACGTGATACACAGCATGTTGCAGGAGCGCTGTTTACTGCCTACATTTCATGCACGTGGCTTTGCAGCACCATCTGGTGCACAAAGAACATGGCATTGTCCTTACAAGATGTCCCACAGGTGGGTCAAAGCTAGAAACATGGAGCAGTTTGCATCTGAGGAAGAGCACAGATCAGGCATGGGCTCACCACATCTGGGCAGCAAGGTACAGCCAGGGTCGCACAGAAGACTTGAGCTGCCACTTCCTGACTTGCAAGCACTTGGCTGGGCACAGGCTCGTTTCCTAGGCCTATGCTCAGGATGCGGTCTCTGACAGCGGCAGTAATAGATGTTTTAGCAGGAGATGATATGAACAGGACAGGTCTCATGTGACCTATCCCTTGTCAGACCCTCTCTGGCCCCAACCATCATTGGTTCAGGGATGTTAAAGGAGATGCCCAATTTTTGTATTCAATAGCTCACAGTGGTCATGTATGCCATGAATCTACCCAATCCCTTTTTGACCCCAGTTATACTCTCTGCCTCTATAATCTCCTGTGGCAATTTTACTATGTGCCATGTAAAAAAGTATTGTCCCTTTTTTGATTTAAGCCTGTCTCCTGAGGAGCTCAGTGGGTGCCTGTACTCTGGGCCTAGGTGAATAACAGTTCCTTGCTCACTCTCTCCTTTAGAAACCACCTTCTCCAGGATGTTGTGGACACCACACACATCCCACAATCAGCCACACATTACCAGAATGCCCTACAAGATGCACAAAATAGCTTCAACTATTTGTAGAACTAGAAATGTGTCGCCAGGGAGGATATTTTTTTGCCCCTCCCCAGAGTCAGAGCTCCCACAGTTCATCGTAAGTCATCAAGCTCTTTTTCCCTTTCCTTTCACAGTCTGCACAGAACAGATCCAAACAACAAGTGCTGCTCTTGGAATTTATGTTTGCAGCCAAGCTGCTTCTTGTCCAAGCCTATAACCTGGCTTACTGTGCAGTTACTAGACCCTGTGTTACAGTAGGACCTTGGGTCCTATGAAGAAGGAAGAGGCTCAGGAACAAAGCCAAGATACAAGTAGCTCCAAGACCAACTTGCAGGCTGAAAGCTCCTCCAGGACAGACATAAATGCTTCTTGACAACCAATTGCGCTCACTACTGAAATCACAAGGTCTCTTGGCTAGAGTGCAGCAAGGAAATTCATCCCTGGCCACTGTGACACAGCAGGACGGGCTGGCCAACACACCAGCATGAATCACTATCATGTCATGTCTCCAAAAAAAAAAAAAGAGAAGACGTGGGAAGAACAGAAGCATCTTGGTACCCAGACCATAGGCTTAAAGCCTTCCCAGCCAAGGGAAGAGGTGTCTTCCCACTGGTGCAGAACAAGCAGCAAGGCGTAGGCACTACAGGTCTCTAGCATCTCCAATACGTCAGTGTGATCCGACTCTGGGCGAAGGGCCAGTTCCAGGAATTCTAGCACTGCCTCTTCACCTGTTCAGAACAGCCTGCACTGCTGCTGACAGGAGCCCTGAGCCCCTTCACATGCGCAGGTGGCATAGACATGGCCTGCTGCATCTGGCTTACCTGCATGGCCCCACCCAACATGGCAGCCACCAACCCCATCGCCATGCTCAGCGTCTGCGCCTCCACAGCACCCGCAGAATCCTGGGCAAGGCTTGCACATGCCCGCTGCAGCGTCACAGCCACGAACTGCACCACCTGCCAGAGGGAGGGAAGGGAGAGAAACACAAGTCACGTCAGTCCAGCCAGAAACATGCAGGTCCTGTGCCCCTCTCCTCAGGGCAAGGCGTCGTCAAGTCTCCTCTTGCAATGCCCCTTGCACATTACTGGAGATGCAGGGCATGTTGGCACGGCACAACGCAGAGCTGCACAGAGCGCCCCGAGCTCACTTGGGGACCAGGACGGGCACATCAGCACAATGCTCCAACTAGACTGACTTGCCCTGCAGAGAGAACAGGGCTCTCAGCCAGTGAAGCCATCCTGATTCTGGTCTAGGGGATCTATACCCCAAAGCATCGCTCTGCAGACATGCCCACAGGGCACTGCTACAGAAGCCAGAAGCAGTGCTGTATCTACCGGGCACACAGAGCTCTGAATTACGTCTGGCGCTGAGGAACCACTCAGTGCTGGCCACAAGCAGAAAAGGGCAGCTCCTGTGCCAAAGTGCTACAGCGCAGCACGGGGTTGGCATGGGCTGAGGCTAATGTCTTTCCAAGCTCACGTGGTGGCACAAGGAAGCTGGAGTGTCCGAGCGCAGTTTTCAGCACGGGCAGCATTTCTGGAAATCCAAGTGGGTTCTCTGCTACCCAAAGCGCCTCAGCAACATCACTCCCCAACTGTCTGAGCATTGTATGTACCAACACAAAGAGCTGGCCTTCAGCAGCAGGTACGCAAGGCAGCAGCAGCCAAGCCAGCCAGCCCCAGCTCCCGCTGTCTTTTGCAATTAAGGCAGAAAATGGATACGTCTGAAACCAGATACTGAAAATACAACACTAACCAACCCCCTCCCCTCCCCGGCCTGGTCACACACGGGCTAGCACACAGCTTCTCTGGAAACCCTTCAGTGATGAACATGCTGACAGACTGGGCGATAAGCCCAACTGTGGCCTGGCTACTGCAGAGGCTTGCAGAGGCCAGGTTCCCTCTCTCCACTGCAGCCCTTCACAACCCTGGAGGATTAGGCTATTAAATTCAGCTCATTACATTCATTAACAAGCTCTCAGCCCCCTGCTGGGTTTGCAGGGAGCAGCCTAGGAAAAGGCCCGGGGGCAGGGGCACACTGATTCCCTCCCGACATGGGCTGCCCTGCCCCTAGCAAGCTCTCAGCCCATGCAGGTGGCAAGAGGTCTGTGCAGGGGGAGGAGGGAGGAGGTGGGAAGGGGATTGGGGGGGCTGGCAGGCACAGGTGTTAGGGTTCCAGCAAACACCCTGGGGAAGGCCTGAGGTTTGAAATATTAAAGAGGCAGCAAGAGAAAGGGCAAGGGCTAAGTGCCACAACCACTGGGGAAGCACTGGGGAGAACAATGCCTCATGCAGGAATAATTAGAAGGCGCAGAGAATGATTAATCACCACACCAGTCAGTCAAAGCCCTGATGGCTGGATACACACAAAATGGCAAAGTATGGACTCAGTAGGGCTCTAACATGACCGTTTAAAAAAAAACAACGATTCACCCTGCCTTGTCTGTAACCCGCCTTGCTGGAGTGTGAGCTCTCCCAGACAACCAGGCTGTTTCATTGTCTGCAGGGCACCTAGCACAGCTGTGAGCAGTCTGAATAAAGAGGGATCAATCTTTTGCAGAAACACACCAGGAAGTTTCCAGATGCGACCAATAATAGGCACATCTAATCAGTTCAAAGAGCACCCCCGCTGCCCAGACAAGGGGACAAAGCCAGGGGTGAGACCTCCCGGGCCAGGCAGGGTCTGCAGCCAAGAACACAGGCAGACACCCCTTTCTGGTGCGTGTTTTGCAATTAAGACAACCAGTGTGCGCGCCAGACTGGCTTTCTTTGGCAGCCAAACCTTTGGCCCCCCACAGCTTCCTGCATCGCTCTGAGAGCCCCAGATTAACATGGCTTTTGTGCTTTGCTACCTTCACCAGCCAAGGGGGGAACCACAGCTTTGTGAAGGCTTATTTAACTGCTGCTGCACCCCAGCATTATGGGGCAGCTGGCACCAGAGAGTATTGGGAGTAGAAGGTCGTCACAGGTAAATGATGCTCTTTGGAACAACCCTTAAATCGAGGCAACTCTTAGTCTGCAGCCCTGAAATAGGGCAGAGGCTCCCTCAAACCTATGCACTGCATAGGACCATAGAACATGAGGGCTGCAAAGGACCTCAGGAAGTCACATCTAGTGCAACCCACAGCTCAAAGCAGGACCAGCCCCAACTACATTATCCCAGCCAAGGCTCTGTCTACCTGGGTCTTCAAAACCTCCAAGGATGGACACTCTGCCACTTCTCTGGTAACCTGTTCCACTGCTTCACTAGCTGCTTGATAAGGAAGTTTTCCCTAATATCTAATCTAAATTTCCCTTGATGCAACCTGAGCCCATTGCCCCTTGTTCTGTCATCTGCCACCACCGGGGACAGTCCAGCTTCATTTTTGGAACCACCTGTCAGGGAGTTGAAGGCCGCTATTAACACCCCCATCTTGGTCTTCTGCGGCATCTCCACCCACCCTGAGCACTGTCCAGTCTCTTTCATGAGCTCAAGTCCCTGCCATGCAATACAAAGGAACAAGGCTTGTCCACAGGAAATAGATGATTTCAATTCTCCTAGCCCTATTCAGAGAGACTGGAGGATGCACTGACCCTGGGAGCGAGGGCCAGGAGGCATTCCTATCAACCCACTGAAATACATCTGGATCTGGTGACATCTGCCAGTCGCATACAATTTACCAAAGCTGTCCTCCAGCATAATGACCATGGGCGAAAGCCGGGGGCCTGTTAGCCAACACCCTGGACTCCCAGAATGATTTGCAGTGGAGTTAAGTTCTAACTGTGAGCCCCAGGCAGGGTAAGAGGTCCAAGTACCCATGAGCAAGCACTCGCACCAGAGGTGGTCTGGGACAGATGTCTTTGAGCTTTGCTGAGCTTCCAAAAGGTTTCATTGAAAAGGAGGTAAGAAATCAACAGGAACAAACCCAAGCTTTGGATTAATGAATGGAAGATTCTCCCAAATGGGATATAATGATGGGCATGCTACAGTGTGTGCTGAACTGCCTCCATCTCCTAGCTAAGCAGGCCATGTTGTTCCTTGGGACTGGCAACAGAGAACACTAGCTCATGTTCACTGCTCTACAGTTTAATCAATAAACCAGTAGAGCTTGATCAGCTGGGTCCCTTGATCCTTTCTTACAGCTGTATCAGAGACAGAGACCCAGGCAGCACCCCCAGCGTGAAGCATCACTGCCCCCGCCACGCCTACCACCCACCTGCACCACATCCGTGAACACGGTGTCCGAGATGCTCTCGCACAGCATGGCCACCAGCTGCAGGATGAGCAGCTGCTTCTTCTGCCCCATGAGGAGCTGCTCACGGTGCTGCTCCAGGTCCAGGAGGCTCTCACAGGAGAGAGTAGGGTCCAGACCAGTCTTATCCTCCGCAGCCATGCAAGTCAGCTCCTGCCAGGACAGCAGAGACCGAGGTGAAGCAACACAGAAGAATTCTGCTCTAGGGGCACCGGAAAAATCACAGCCCTACAGCACTGTTGGCTGCTCCCTCATCCAGACCTTCGTCAATGGCCAACAACTACAACTACCCACCCTTGAGCAGCACCCCAGTAGGGCAGTCCTCTTGTCACAAGCAGCTGCCCAGTCTTCCACTTCTGCCCACCAGCCTCATCCTGTCCCAGGATCTTTGCTCCAAGGGGGTAGGGTTTGGGGCTCTTCCCCAGCCACATCCTTAAGTGCTGAGGTGTCCCAAGGGGTCTTGCGCTGGGTCCCTCACCAGGCTCCCACTCTCTGTGCTGCTCGTTTCACACAGCGGTACCCCTTCACACCCACACAGCACGTGAGGCCATTTAAAGAGCTCCAGATAAAGGAGCCTGGAGCTCTTTGCACTGGCCAAAGTACCAGGGAAAGATGGTCCAACCCCAACAGGTGCAAGGGGGGCAAGGAATAGGCTCTACCTGCCAACTGGCAAAGGGGGAGCACAGCCCAAGGGGGGCCTGGACATGGCTGGGCTGGATGCCAAGCTGCAGGATCAAAGGGAACGGGGGAGTTGGGAAGTGCCCGCTTCCTGCTTCCCCAAAAGCCAAGGCAGTGGCAGTCTGGCTGGGGGGGATTACTGCAGACCTGAAACCCACCATTAAGCTCCAGACATGTTCCTGTTGCCAAAACAGCCCAAGGGAGAACAAGGGTTAACCCTTTCTTGGCCGGAAGGCTCCACACTTCTCCTTGGAGCCAACACCCTGGCCTGCTCAGCCCTGGTGCAGAGAAGGGAGAGGAGTACAGCTACCCCCTCCACCTGCGGTGGGTCCTTCCTCACTGTCCTCAGGGGATTTGAGCTAAGTCTCCTCTCTGCCTCACTCCCACCTGCAGCCAGGATCCATCCGGCCTCTGAACGTTAACCCCCTTGGAAGGCAAGACGCTTCCGGGAGCCTGGCTCCCAGCAGAGGCAGCCCCTCACCTGTAAGCAGCGGAGGAAGAAGTCTCCCGCTAAGCCGCTCTTCTGGCAGTGAGACAGCAGGTCCACCAAGGTTTCCAGCTGCCACTGCTCCCAGGACAGCTTCTGGTAGAGCACTTCATCCTCGTCACTGGAACAAAGGCGACATTTCACCCTGACAGGAGCCCGCCCAGAGCCAGCCTGCAGCAATATCAGCTCCAGGTCTGGTGCCTCCCAAGGACCTTCCACCCCCAATGACAGAGTGACAAGATGCATCCAGCCCTTCCTTCCCCCTCTTCTACCCACACACTGAGCAACAAGTCCCTGGCTGCCCTCGTTCTGGGAGTAAAAGGAGGTGATGCAGAGGTGCAGCAGCCTCCACATAGCAGTGCCACACAGGAGCTCAGGACAGGGGGGCAAGGAATCTGCAGCCAACAGAAACTGCACCTGAGCTGGGAGATGGATGTTTTTCCCAGCTGGGATTTGGCACGGACGCTAGGACATTCAGGAGTCCTCTGTTGTGGTCACCAGCTGCTGAAGCACAAACTCCCCCCACTCTATCTACTTACACTCTCACTGACATCCTGTCACACTTTTAGCTTCTCTCATTGCTTGGTGTCTCAGAACAGCAGAGACTTCCTAAGCCTGAAGAAGGGTGATTTTGCCTGAAAGCTTGCTAAAAACTTTTCCCCAACTACTCAGTTTGTCTAATAAGAGACACCACATCTACTCCAAGAAGCTTGCCTGCCTAAACTCCCCCCAGTTAATGGTGTTTGGCATCTTGCTATTCCATCTCATTTACCCTGCAGTTTCAGGTGTTAATGAGCCTTAGCAAGGCCCTTTGTATGGAACAGAAGAGCTCCAGGTTTGCTCTGCTTATCTGTCCATCTCTGTCTCCTGTTTCCCTCTCACACCTAGCCCACCCACACAATGCTGGGGGGGCTAATACACTTCATGGCTTCACAGAAACCAGGAGCAGGAGTTGCTCCCAGGGCAGAGGCAGCCTCAGGGAGCTGATGAACTATTGCTAAGCCACATGATGAAGCTGAAAGGACGGAGCTCTGGGCTTACAAGGGCAGACTATCAGCACTAAATACGCCTGTAACCTGACAGCACCGCAAAGAGCTGGGTGAGCATTAGAGAATGAATGCAGCAGCCCAAAACAGTTTCCTCTTCCCCAGAAGCAGGGATACAGTTACAGGGAGCTCATGAGACCTGCTCACTGCAGACTTGCACTGCCTTGAGGTAAGGGTGCTTTTGTGATAACGTAATGCAGCTGGGGCAGACACTCTCACTTTGGGCCATTTGGGTTCAATCTAAACCAAATGAAAGCAGCATGCCAGGCTGGGCTATCGTTTAAGTAAACCTGCACTCCCACAACCTCTGGCCTGCCCACTCCTGGGTCAGACACCTGCACTCCATCCACCCCATCATCCCAGCTCACGTATACATCCCATTCCCCTGACAAAAAAACAACTTCCTTTGGCACTGATTTTAAGGTTGCTAAAGGGCTCTGGTCTTATAGCACCAGAGCCTCCAAAGAACCATTGCCTATAGTCTGCCGCTGTAACCCCTCTCTACCCCCGTAGTGTGTGACCAACATGCCCATTTGACAGTCCCACCACTCCACTAGGAACTTCGCTGTGTCGGCAGGCAGCCACAAGACAGCAAGGACATGCCGATGCTCCAGGCCAGCTGGAATTCGACCAAGCTATTTAGAAACACATTTCCTGCTCCCCCCCTCCAGTCTCAGGACAAAGGGCTCCCCCATATAAAGAGAAGTCCCACGTGAATGGTGATCTCGTAGCTGTGCCAGGGTAAGGTCCACTCTGCTTTCTTGCCTCGTGGCTCTGTCAGCATGCAGTGTTGTTTGCTGGGCAGGTGGAGCCATGCCTGCTGGGGTTTGGTGCGACCACCTGGGTCCTGCGCGCCACATGGAAGGAACGTGGCAGCACCAGGAAACTGTGCTCAGCGTGGAACTGGCTGTACTTTGCGTGACCCCCACCTCCAGCTGAGCCACGAAGCAGCCCTAGGTGTTAAATGGAGACTGTCCACCTATTTGGCCAGCCACTGTGAGGAAGACAGCAATGCCAGAATCCTCATACAAGTCTCTTACCTGACGGTCTCTCTGACTGCGATCAGGGCACCACCTTCACTGGCTACGCCAAACTGGCAGTGCGGGTGGAGAGAATGCATGGCAGTATTCAGTCCGGCAAATGCTTCCAGTGTGGAAAAGGCCACCTCCATCTCAGACTTCTCCAAGAACCACAGCAGGATCTCTTGGCAAGCAGAGCTGGCAGGGAGAAGCAGCCATTAAATTGCCCTTCATCTTTCATTAGTTCATCCCCGCCCAGAGGTGGCCAAGGACCACGGACACACTGGGCTACAAACTTCAGTCGGCGATCCAAAGGCTGGAAGATTCTTTATAAGGCAGGTCCAGTATACTGCCCTGGCTTCTCCTGCCTATATAGAAAGGGTTCTGCATCCTTACCCAGCCATGAACAGAGAAGCCTGGCAGCATGAGCAAACACCTCGCAGGGACGGCCTCTCCACACGCACACATGTACACACACACACACTTTAGTGAGACAATGCACAGAGCTCTTCCCTCTGTTGAGAAGTCTGAGGAGAAGAGAGACTGGGAAGAGAGCAAAGTAACAGGGAACAGACATCTTTGCTCAGCAAGTGATCAAGGAGCAGTTCTGCGGGGGTACCCGGATTCTGGAAGGCGCAAGAGGGCTGGGCAGCTGGAGTTCAGAGACCCGTGCTGAATCCTTTAAGGAAGGGACAGCTTCTGGCAGTAGGTCCCCCTGCAGCCATATTAAACACGGGCTGTTTCTGTCCCTTCCAGGAATTCCCACTGCACCTCTGAAATGACTGCCAGACGCCCCTGCTCTGGGAGCACTGCTATAAACCTACTGCAGAGATTTTAGCAAGCTCTTGTCCAGCCTCACACTTAGCAGGTCTAAACAGAGCTGGGGCCGCACAGGTGCTTCCAACCAGCAGAGGAGCCTGTGCGCTTCTCCTATTCCTAAATCCCCCCCAGCACTCAAACCACCTCTCCCCACAGCCAGGCTCCTTCCTGTCACATGGGATCCCTCCTTGCCACTCAGCTAGTCTTGGGTCAGACTGATACAACCACACCTGCACAGAACCAGCAGGTCCTGGACACTGGTTTTCTGAGAATCCAGAAGCTGAGACCATGGCTGTCTCTGGCTGCAGCGGGAATTGCAGCGATGCCAATGTAGCATGTGCAAGTATGAGCCTAATAGCTGTGCTTATTACATTTACTTCAACTGTAAAATCCTCAGGGTAGGAATCCCTGTTTTCCATTATGCTTATACGGCACCAGTTTGATACTGGTGTGAGGCAGGTGACAAGCCTGCTTCGCCACAAGGCACTGCTCTCCCTGTCCTCCAGGGCTGGGCACCAACCAAGGAGGTTTCTCCTAAGACAGGATACCACATTTCAGGCTTGACAAGTTCACCGCTTTGCCATTCCCCAGCTCTTACCGCAAATAAGACACATTCTGCTTGGTGAAACAGTACAGAGTGAAAACCACTCCCAACGTCGGCTGCAAGGACTCCAGCAACGTGCCAGAGGATTCGTTTCCAACCACGTACACCTACAGAGAGGGACAGGCACGCTCAGAGCAGGGCCAGGCCTCTGCCATGAGCTGACAGGGAGGGAAGGATAAAAGGTGAACGTGTGCCTGGCATGATCTGCCATCAGAGAGAACAAGCTACAGATGACTGCTCCTAGCCCTCCCAACTGTGGGCTCATTTTATTACCCTGCTAACAAGGAACCCCTGCTCTGCTGACTTGGCTCCTAAGGTGGCCTCCAGCACCTTCTCTAATGCCATCTGGGAAGTGCTGTAACCTAGTACAAGAGGCTTCAAAAGTGCCCAAACATTACAACCAGTCGTTCAGGGAATCTATCGCTTGGGCTAAAAGCTTGGACACTGCCTGGAGCATTAGCCTCTTGGGAAGCAGCCACTCTTTATGGAAGTACCGCATCCAGAACCGACTCCCCGCTGCTACAGCATCCATCTCCAATGTGAAGGCGGTAAGATCCCTGAGTTGCCATGCTGGCTGAAATCTGGGAAACAAAGGCTGGTGAACAGCAGCACTCTGAGGAAGCCACGGCATGAAGCTCCTTTCTCTGCTTTGCAAGAAGCCCTTACTCAGAGCCCTAGACATTGCAAGTACCGTTAGAATCAGGAAGCCAGCAACCTCTTCACACCCCAAAAAGCAAAGGTATCAGCTGGTGCAGTCATGTCCTGACTCACCAACTCATCTAGCTATGTCCCAAAGGAGCACAGAGGATCACAGCAAACCTCGCAACATAACTGCCTTGTTCTGCATCACTTAGCCAGGCAATTCCTTACAGATCTGCTACGGTAGCTGCAGCTAAAGCAGCAGTGCTGCGAAAACCCAGCTTAGAACAAAGCTGTGAACACAACGCTCAGATGGGCAAGAGACTGGGTTTACAGGGAACAGACACATCTGTCAGTGCATGATTACAAACTAAGAGGCGGAGATGCCTTTGTGCGAAATGGGGAGGGCCTGGGAAGAGTCCTGCCTACAAACTGCTGGACCCTTCTGCAGGTCAGCCGGCTGCTAACCTCAGGTGCTGCTCAGAGGATGCTGCCCCTTTACACACAGCCCCTCCATGGGGCTCAGGAGTTCAGGTCTGAGCTCATCCCAATTCCTCGCAGGCTGCAGGGTCTGGGAATATGCAGGAAAGAAGAGGGTCTCTAGATGCTGTTTTGGCCGACTGCTCAGATGCAGGAGGCATTCTGCCTGTGCTAATCCCCATGGAGCCACGCTTCCTGCCCGGCACCTTCAGCACACAAAGCCTCCCTGCTGAAGCCCCAAGTGGAGTTTTCCACTCCCGGCATCAAATGACACTTGCTAGGCAAAAAAAAGCACGTCTGCCAGCTGAAGTCTCCCTGCTAATCTCCCCGTTGTCAGGATTAAAGCACACTGCCATTAGCCAGGGACCCACCCTGCACTCCAGAGGCTTCCTCACAATGGGCGCCAGCCACAGAGCGGCCGGCCCCTGCCTGCCAGCTCGTTACAACAGGCCGGTACTACCCAGCACACTGCAACAATTGCAGCGGTTAAGAGCTCAGGTTGCCTCAGTGCCTGCCAAGGAGCCAATCACTCTGGCTCCAGATGTTGCCCCAGTGGCCCGGGGCTGTGCAGCAGAGGAACCCCCCCACCTCACCCTGTGGGGTCAAGCATATGAGCCGGGTGCTAGCAAAGGCCATTTGCTATAGCTGGGGACCACGTACCACTGCCTCCGCAGCAGGGAGGTGCAGCTGGCACACACAGCAGCTCTCGATCCAAGCTCTGATTTATGCATGGCAACTCTGAGGTTGCAACCCAGACTGACTGCAAGCATTCATCCCTGAGTGCTTCTCTGGGTACCAGCGGGCTAGCAGGCGTGGGTGAAGAGGGCCCAGGCACCCCCTGCCCTCTGCTATCATCAAGGATGCAATTCATTGCAGAGGGGATCCGTGCCTCCGAGCTGCAGCAGCTGCAGGAACAATACATACATCACGGCTGGAAGGATCTCCGCAGAAGGTGCTGAGCTTGCCTTGTCTGCCCTGCCCTCTATGGCTTCTGCCTTGACACTCAACAGCCACTTACCCCAGCTCCTGACAGCGAGAGCCCCACTAAGGCAGAAGGGTCATGATTTTCACAGCCCTCCGGCCCCTCCCCATCTAATCAGCCGCATGTGCTGTGAAGCAGGAAAGCGGCTACGTCTCAGCAGTTTCCCTGCCTCAGCAGCAGTCAGCCCAGGCGCTGTAAATCTGTTTGGAGGCCAGAGTAGCACTTGTTCCACGTGTGGATCTACACTCAGCAATGGTGTCTCTCGAAACCAGGCCAGTAAACTATGCTGTTCAGGGATAATGCTGAACAACAGGCAATCACTGCTGAAAAGGCTACCGGTCACCTGTGGGGCAGAGGAAGGTGATGGCCTCTGCAACTCGCTGCAGTCAACTCCAGACTCAGAACTCAACCTGTGCATGCGGGACGCACCCTTCTTGCATTGAAGAGCGCAACAGGATTTTTTCCAAGGGAATCTAAAAGGATTCAGAAGCTAGAAGGCATTTTGCTGGTAACCTCTGTCCTCTACCAGCCAGAGAAAGATGACCACCAGCAGCAGAGATGAAATCATAGAGACGCAGGGCTGGAAGGGAGCTCCAAAGGTCTACGCCAACTCCCTGCCTGAGGCAAGATCATCCCCATCCAAATCATCCCAGATAAATCCCTGATCTCACCCAGCGGTGGGCAAAATACAGCTCACGGGGCCAGATCTGGCCCAGCAAGTGATTCTGTCTGGCCCATGGCAGATCCCTTGGCCCCACCTGGCCCAAACACATGGGGTAAGCCTGGCTGTGGCATAGTTTCATAGTTTCTAGGGTCGGAAGGGACCTGAGAAGATCATCTAGTCCGACCCCCTGCCATGGCAGGAAAGAGTACTGGGG